ACTTTATTTTTGAGGGTTCCAAAAATACTACAGATGGTGACTGCTTCCATGAAATTAAAAGACGCTTGCTCCTTGGAAGGAAAGTTATGACCAACCTAGACAGCATATTAAAAAGCAGAGACATTACTTTGTCAACAAAGGTCCGTCTAGTCAAGGCTATGGTTTTTCCAGTGGTCATATATGGATATGAGAATTGGACTATAAAGAAAGCTGAGCGCCAAAGAATTGATGCTTTTGAATTGTGGTGATGGAGAAGACTCTTGAGAGTCCCTTGGACTGCAAGGAGATCAAACCAGTCCATCCTAAAGGAAATCAGTCCTGAGTGTTCATTGGAAGGACTGATGGTGAAGCTGAAAATCCAATACTTTGGCCAACTGATGCAAAGAACTGACTCCTTGGAAAAGACTCTGATGCTGGGAAAGACTGAAGACAGGAGGAGAAAGGGATGACAGAGGATGAGATGTTTGGATGGCATCACCAACTCGATGGACGTGAGTTTGGGTGGACTCCGGGAGTTGGTGATGGACAGGGAAGCCTGGCATGCTGCAGTCCATGGGGTCGCAAAGAGTCAGACAAGACTAAGCAACTGAAATGAACTGAGGTAACTAAGATCTTACATGCCCAGAGACAAGACCAAAGAAAAAAAAGAAGTTCTAAAAAATAAAGTAACTAGTTTCCAAGAGGAACATGATATGGTGTGAATATTTGAAATGCAGTGTTTGGCCAGGATTCCTTTGTTAGGTGATTTTGTTGCTGAAAATAAAGAAAAGCTGTCACCTATAAAAAAAACCTCTATCTGCATGTTTAAACTTGGCAACAGAATTTCCTAATCTTTTTAAATATCTTCCACCTAAAAAGCTTCAGTGGGTTTGAAATCCACTTGTTACACATATAGTGGTGCATCATCTTTAGTTTAGTTTGTAGAGGCCCCAGGTTGATTATCAGGGAAGTTGAAAATTTATGAGCTGGATTTCAAAGAAAATAAAGAGTCAGTTTGTATTAACTGGTGAATGGGATTAAAAAGGAAAAACCAAAACTTAAGCATACCTAATGGTACTTTGCTTTTTTCTATATATTCTGTGAGGTTTTCTCCTCTTCAGTTTTTCAGTGATGACCCTGAAATTAAGCCACTAAAACTGAACATGGTACAGAGCTTTATTTAGGATCATAACTTTGAATGGATGTATCACAAAATACTAGAACAATGCCTTCAAAAAAGGAAACAAATTTTAATCTGTTGCTGTCATGATACTTGTAGAAAACATTGCTAATTTTTCACTTTGTTTTTTGTAGAAATATATTCAAGGATAATGCAAGTCAAAACCATAGTGAAATATCTTTGCACATCAATTTGATTGGCAAAAATTAAGACATCTGATAATATGGAGTGTGGGAAAGAAGGTGGCTCCACGGTCCCTCCTACTTTGCTGGGAAAGTGAGGCTGATGCCTCCACTGTTTCATCATTTCTTAGTCTCTTACAGTCCAACCAATGTATGCATTCATTTAAGAAACTGACACTTTTCAGAAAGATCGTAGCCGCATTAGTGAGAAGGCAAAGACTGGTAGACAACCCAAGCGCCCATCAACAGGAAAGCAGACAATTAAGACTGGAATATTACACATCAGTCAAAATGGTTGGACAACAGTGACAGTTTGGATGACCTAAGCAATATAATAAACGAGGGAGTAATTCCTGGGAGATGACATTCCCTTTTCTTTTTTCTTTTCAGTATTTGTTGATGTGGAGCATTTTTTAAAGTCTTTGTTGAATTTGTTACATTGTTTCTGTTTTACACTTTGATTTTTTGGCCGCAAGCCATGTGGGAATCTTAGCTCCCTGACCAAGGATCAGAGACACGCACCCCCTGCATTGGAAGGCAGCACCAGTGGACCGCCAGGGAAGTCACTACGTTCCCTTTTAATGAAGTTCTTAAAAAATTAAGATTTAAGGAATACGTGTAGGTACAAAAAAGAAAAAAACTTGCCAAGGGGAAAAAAAGGCAAAGAAATGAAGAATGGAGGGTTTAGGTTGATGGCTATTAAATTGGGGGAGGGGTTAAGGAAGGTATATGAGAAATGCAGGTCATGGTTAAGGTCCTGGCACGCCGGGGTTGCGTGTTCCCTGGTATTAATCATATCATAATAAGCCAAGGAACAAACAAGCAACCAAACAAATGCAGGCCAGCGACACATCACGGATGACAGCGGGACATGTACTGATACCAAAGATCAGGTAATCCAATTCTGTGACCTAAGCTGAAGAAATTATCTCCATCCAGAGCAAATACAAACACAGGCACACAGCTCGAGTGGTAGAGCGCTATCAGACCTCTCCCCACCTCCAGGTTGCATGCATTTCCTCTTTCAACTTCCCCAGAGGCAACCCTAATAGCAGAAAGCAGAGAGGAACCAAAGAGCCTCTTGATGAAGGTAAAAGACGAGTGTAAAAACCTGGCTTAAAACTTAACATTCAAAAAACTAAGATCACGGCATCTGGTCTCATCACTTCATGGCAAATAGATGGGGAAAAAAATGGAAAAGTGACAGACTTTATTTTCTTGGGCTCTAAAATCACTGTGGACAGTGACTGCAGTCATGAAATTAAGACACTTGCTCCTTGGAAGAAAAGCTATGACAAACATAGACAGCGTATTAAAAAGCAGAGACATCACTTTGCCAACAAAGGACCATCTAGTCACAGCTGTGTTTTTTCCAGTAATCATGTATGGATGTGAGAGTTGGACCATAAAGAAAGCTGAGCACTGAAGAAAGGATGCTTTCGAACTGTGATGTTGGAGAAGACTCTTGAGAGTCCCTTGGACTGAAAGGAGATCAAACCAGTTAATCGTAAAGGAAACCAACACTGAACATTCACAGGAAGGACGGATGCTGAAGCTCCAATATTTAAGCTACCTAATGCGAAGAGCCGACTCATTGGAAAAGACCCTGATGCTGGGAAAGATTGAGGGCAGACGGGGACGACAGAAGGTGAGGTGGTTGGATGGCATCATTGACTCAATGGACATGAGTTTGAGCAAACTCTGGGAGATGGTGAAAGACAGGGAGGCCTGGCGTGCTGCAGTCCACGGGGTCTCAAAGAATGGGACACAACTGAGCGACTGAACAACAAGAGGCAACAAGTGCCACCTCACAACCCTCCTGAGACATTCCAAAAGGACACAGACAAAACACAGCGCACGTGGGTGTTCTGAAATGGCTTTGCCTGTGTGTGTGCCCGGGGCTTCCCTCGTAGCTCAGTCGGTAAAGTCTGCCTTCAGCGCGACGCAGGAGATGCGGGTTCGGCCCCTGGGCCGGGAAGATCCCCTGGAGAAGGTGAGGGCAGCCCGCACCGGTGTCCTTGCCTGGGAAACTCCATTGACAGGGAGACTGGCGAGCTACAGCCCACGGGCCCGAAAGAGTCGGGCACGACTGAGCCGCTGACCCGCCACCGCCACCGCCCCCGTATGTGCCCACAGGCGCACATCCCAGAGAAAACTGTAAGAGCTGCTTTTAAAAACGTCGGGAAAATTTAATCTTGAGTGACTTCACCATTTAATCTTGAGTGACTTCACCCGGCCTTACACAGACCTCTTGACAATCAATCTACAGCTTGAAAATTAACGGGAAATTTGAGGAAAATTGAGCTCTGTCTTTGAGAAATATGAAAATGTGCTTCTCGCAGGCAGCCCCCTAGGGTTCGTCAGGGTAAACTTCACAAAAGGTGCATTACAGGATGAAGCGGAAACCGCTCGGGGCCGGACCAGCCGCAGAAGACAAGCTCACCCGCGGCTGTGTTAGAAACGGGGATTCCCAGGCCCCGCCCCCACGGGTTCAGCGCCGAACCTGAGTCTTTTTAACCACAGCCCCCACGTGACTCTCAGGTTCGGGCACGCTCCGGGCACAGCCCCGCCGGAAGTGACTCCCCAGCCGAAGAGCGCGAACACCTGGGGCTCGTAGGTGGCTTTCTGCTCCCGGTCGGATGTCGTTTACCTCGTGCCAGGAGGGGTCCCCTCGGGTCTCATCAAGACCCAGCCAGTCTGAGCGAGAACGCCAATTAGCTCAAGCCCCCGCCCCCAGGACCACGCCTCGGTCACCTGCCGGGCGGGGTCCGCCCCCTCTGGGCCCCAGGCTTCCTTTGTGGTCTCGGAGCCCGGGCGCCGGGCGAGAAGGGCGGAGGATGGGGAAGACGCTGCGTAGAAATACAGATTCCTGGGCCCTGCTGCCTGAAGCGAAAACTTGCGGAATCTGCATTTTTAGCCGGCTCTTCCAGGACCCGTGGGTTCACCCTTCAATTGTAGCCTAATTTAAATTTTAAATTCGAATACGCAGCCACGAGTGGAGGTCGTGCTTCTCAACCTTGGCTGCACTTCAGAATAACCTGGGGAGTTTTTTTAAATATACACACCAATGCCCAGGGTTCAGTCCAGACCAATTAAGCCGGAATCTAACAGCGCTGCCTGGGCGGCAGCCGCCTCACCTGGGAGCTCGTTAGAAATACAGAAGCTCAGGCACCACCCCAGACCCACTGAGTCAGAATCTGCATTTTAACGAGATCCCCAGTGATTCGCGCGCACTTTAAAGTTGCAGGAGAGCTGTGCTTCTAAAATTTTAATGGGTAAACGAACCACCTGGGGACCTCGTTAAAATGCAGACACGGTTTCTCAAACCTTAATGTGCATGCGAATCACCTGGGGAGCTTGTTAAAATGCAGATTCTGATTCCACGGGTCTGGGGTGGAGCCCGAGAGTCTGCATTTCTAACGAGCTCCCAGCCGGTGCGGGCTGCCCGGGTGCGCCCCGCGCTTCCCCGAGAGTCCCGAGGTCTTGGCTGCGGGCCAGTCCGCCGCCGGGGCTCCTGATAAACCGTCCCGCTGGGTTGAGGAGTAGGATTGCCGGGACGTGCGCGCTCCGGCCGAGCCGGGTTAATTCCCGAACTCCAGGAATTGGCTGTGTGAGGCTGGCCGCTCGCAGGGAGTCGCCAGAGCCCCGATCCTCACGCCATGTCGCGGCGCAAGCAGGCCAGGCCCCAGCATCTCAGCTCCGAGCAGCCTCAGCCGGCGATCCGGGAGTTCCCCGAGGCGGCCCGGGAGGCGGCGGGGGAGCCGGGTGAGTGGCGCCGCGGATCCCGGGGCTGGGGGCGGTTTTCTCGGACTTTCCGCAGACCCGCGCAGGTTCGAGGTCCCGGCCATCAGGCTCGGGGGGGTGGTGGCGGTGAGGCTGCCAACTCTAGTTCTGGGGCTCAGATCTTGTTACCCTTGCCTTTGTAAGTTACACACACACACCCTTGTAAATCGACCCTTCTCGGGTAGATTCTGTCGCTCCCCGAGTCGCTCTCTTGCAACCACTCCTACCTCCCAGCCCCCCAAGCGCTATTCGATGACGGTTCATTCCTCGGACACCTTGGAAGGATGCTCTGAGATCCCTCTGGAGGCAGCCTTCGGCGTGCCGGGCCTCCTTGGCGCCGGGCTGGGGATGTGCGCCTCGGAGGTGGGCGTTCCGATATCCCAGGCGTCTTCCTGGGTGTTGGCGGGGAAATGTCCGAGCTTCTGCCGGGCCCTGGGGAGAGGTGCTAGAGCGGAGGCACTGCGACCAACCGTCCTCCTGGAGGTCGAGGCCGCTAGGGACCGGAGCGGTGGCCCCCGAGATAAAGCGGTGGCGCGTGCAGCGTGTTAGGGGTGAGCGCTGGGAACTCATAGGGCTGGGAGGGGCCGGGGTGCTGCCCGGGGACGGCCTCTCGGCGGGGGGCACCGTCGAGGAAAACTCCGGAGGCTTTGAGCGAGCGGTAGAGACGGCAGAGGGCGACAGCGAGGCTGGAGCTGGGGCGGGGGCGTCCGACGGAGGTCTGAGAAGGGACGGGGGTCCCGGGTTCCAGTAAGGATGTCGACTTTTACTCTGAGCGAAGTGGCGCCATGGTTTGGGGGCGGGAGCGGGGTCAGCGCGGTGGTAGGGTGTAGGGTTAGGGGGGTTCCGGGAGAAGCTTGGAGACCCTGGGCTACCCTGAGTGCCCCAAGGCAGCCTCGGCTTCCGAAGACCCTGCGGGTGGGGAGCTTTGAGAACCCTCTGGATTCTTCCGGCTCCCACCCCGCGCTCCTGGAATCCCAGGGGTGGAGTGGAGTCGGGGAATCTGCATTTCTAAGGCGCTTCCCGTTGTGATTATCTTGTCCTCAGATAAGACCAGGTAGATTCCTATTTCAGGTCTCTCCTCCCCACCCTTCCCACCCACCCCCGTGGAGAGTTGCTACCTTTTGCTTAGCCAGAAGCTGGTGAGAGGAACCCTCACTGGAACTTTCTCCCCTTCTCCCTCCTTCCCTCCCGGCCCCCCGCATTTTCCTGGCTCCGAAAGGGAGAGGTGGGATCTGGTCTCCTCTGCAAGAAGGGCCAGACCTCCAGCAGCAGGTGTCTGGTGGGCTCTGACGACCACACTGCCCCCAGGGAGGCGGTGAGGAGAGAACCAGCTTAACAGCCGCTCCTAAACTCGTGGTTTGTGTGTGAAAGTGAAGCTTGGCTGGGTGAAACTTCTGCAACCCAAACACCCCGTCTCTGTGCTCAAGGTCTAGAGTGCGGATAGGCAGGAAGAACCAGGGTCTTCCTGGGAGTGGGGCAGGGCTGCCGATCCTCTGTAAAAAAGAATTGCGGGGGTACTGGAGATGCTAAGTCTTGGGGGGGGGGGCAATAACATAAGACTGTTCTTGAAGGAACACAGGCTGTTCAGAGTGAGTGCTATGGGCTGCTTTTTACCCCTGCAAACAGCGCTTGGAGGGCAACCTCCTGGAGCCTTGCTCTCTGTTTGCAGGGGTTGGGGAGGCTGTTGTGTGGCTGGGGGGGGGGTGCCAGGGCCCCTCAACACCAGCCCCCGCTGCAGAGAAAAACAGACCTGTAACCGACGTTCCCCTGCACTTGCCTCAGGTCTGTTCTGATGTTGAGCTAGAGCCCCCCCCCCTTTTTTAAGGTGGTGCATGCGTGTGTCTTGGGGGGGGGGGAGTCAGTTGCTAAGTGTGTCTGACTTTCTTAGACCCCGTGGACTGTAGCCCACCAGGATCCTCTGTCCATGGGATCTTCCAGGCAAGAAGACTGGAGTGAGGTGCAGTTTCCTTCCATTTCCTCCTCCAGGGGATCTTCCCGACCTAGGGATCAAACCCACATGCCTGCATCTCCTGCATTGGCAGGCGGATCCTCTACTAGGAAGCCGTTTTTAAGGTTGGGCTGCTGTTTGTTAATTTGCAGGTGTCGTTGCAACTCATGTAGCTTCTGGAGGAGATAGTGACACGGGTCAGTTGGTAGACTGAGGCAGGAACACAACCTTACCAAAAGAACACCAGCAGTTTCTCAAAAGCTTCGAAGGGCCACTGTGCTACCCTTGTTCTCACCATCCTCCTCCAGTCTAGAAGGGTCTCTGCCCCAGCTGCGCCTGTCTCGGGAGAGCAGGCTTCCCACCTTCCTTCCTTTCCTGGAAGAAGGAGGTCGCCTCTGAAGCTCTGCCGTTTTCTGCCTGGGTGACCCTTTGTAGCCTTGGGCACAGTTTTCTGAGAGCTTTAACCTGAAAGTCTCCCTTCTGCCTGCCTTCACATTGGCACTGTGACCTGCTTCCCTCTCCCTGGGAATTTGGTGGCTCATGTCTGCACACATCAGTGGATACAACCAAGAGCATTTGTATAGTGCTGACTCAGAAGGTTCTTTTACGAAAGTATGTTAAGGAATTTAATATTTGTCTAAACCTGGAAAATGGGGACCAAAATCCTCATTTTATAAATCTGGAAACCGAGGAACAGGAAAGTTGAGGAACTCCACCAGGGTCACACAGCTAATAAAGAATAGAATTGGAATCTGGAACTTATCAGCTGGCTTCCCAGGCAGTTTCGTAAACCATTGTGCTTCACAGCCTCCTACTAAGCTTTCCAGTCTTAGCTTTTCAGCTTTCCAGTCTTCCTTGGTTTCAGTGGGATTAAAAACCCTCATGAGTTTAATGGCTTTCTTTCTTTAACACGCAAATTGCTAAACAATGCAAGGTTTCCTCTTCCTCTGAGAGGCACAGTGATGGACTTCAGATCTGCCAAGTGTGGGTTCTGATTCACAGAGAACTTCTGCCCAGCAGCCTTGAGCAGCGTCTCTGAGCCCGGTTCCCTTCCCCCTGCTGCTGCTAAGTCGCTTCAGTCGTGTCCGACTCTGCGACCCCATAGACTGCAGCCCCGTCTATGGCTCCCCCGTCCCTGGGATTCTCCAGGCAAGAACTCTGGAGTGTGGGTTGCCATTTCCTTCTCCAGTGCATGAAAGTGAAAAGTGAAAGGGAAGTTGCTCGGTTGTGCCCGACTCTTAGTGACCCCATGGACTGCAGCCTACCAGGCTCCTCCGTCCATGGGATTCTCCAGACAGGAGTACTGGAGTGGGGTGCCAGTGCCTTCTCCATCTCTTCTCACAGAAAGTCCCAAAGCGTGGCCCCCTAGACCAGCAGCATCAGCTGGGAACTTGTTAGAAATGAAACACTGCCAGCTCCACTTGGGACCTCCAGAGGGGGAGCCAAGCCACCTGTACCTTAACAAGCCCTTCAGGTGACCGTGATGATGGGTAATTTGAGAAGCTCTGGCTTCGAGTTGTGCTTCTGACTTGATGTGCATGGGCCTCACCTGGGGATCTTGTTAAAGCACAGACTACGTCTGAGAGCTGGGCTCTGCCTTTCTAACAGGCTCTTGGATCATGCTGGTGTTAGTACTCTGAGGGCCACCCTTTGAGTTATCAAAGGCTTAGAGAGTAGTATGAGGTTGGCGTGCTTTAAAATGCAGGTTCCTGGGCTCACCCCCTCCCCAGTTAAGGTGGATGAGGCTTTGGAGACTACATTTAACCCACAGTTCAGGTGATTCTGATGTTGCGTTTGGGGGGGTTCCGTGCATCTTTGGATGTTCAGCAGCGTCCCTGGCCTCTACCCACTAGACGCCACTGTCACAAACGTGTGCACACAATCGTGACAATCAAAAGTGTCCCCAGGTATTGCAAAATGACCCCCAGTTGAAAGGCATAGGCCTACGTCCCTTGTTCAGTCCCCGTGAAGGGGCGTCAAGCATCGCAGCTCCTTGGATATGGCACCTGCAGTCCTTTAACCGAAGCCCTGCAATAGCATTGACACAGTGGAGGCTGGACCTGTGCCGGGAATTTACATAGTGCATCTCTTCTTACCTGGAGGCAGGTCAGTGATGCCTCTCTACAGATAAGTAAACCGAAGCTCAGAAACGTTAAGTAAGCTGCCGGTAATCACACAGCTAGCATGTGACTGCACAAACCCTACACCCTCATCAGCGTGTTCTGCAGCTTCTATGATAAGAAGGTTTGCTTTGACCAATCTGTCAAGGAAGGCGGAATCCACCTTCTGTGTTGCCCACTCACTGAGTCATGTCTGACTCTTTGGAACCCCATGGTCTTCAGCCCACTAGGCTCCTCTGTTCATGGGATTTCCCAGGCAAGGATACTGGATTGGATTGCCATTTCCTTCCCAACCCAGGGATCAAACCCGCATCTCCTGCTTGGCTGGCAGATTGTTTACCACTGAACTGCCTGGGATCAAAAGTCCCTGACCCTGGGCTGTAATTCATAAACCAGTTAATATGTTTTTCTTTTCAGACTTAAAATATTGACAGCACCTCCTTTTACCTGGGTCTTAAATCTATTTGGAGAGAAATCACTTTATAGTCTTTGAGGAGCACTTGGTCTTTGTTGTAGAAGTTTTTAAAGTTTCCTATTAGATTGAACCATGTGAAATAATCTGGCCATTTTGACCGACAGAAACTGCAGTAACACCTGGGTCAGCCTTGCTGACAGAGGGTTATGCGATGAGCTTCATGGACCAGAGGCTCAGTTTCAACCACTGGTGGCCGACCTTGTTTCTTCTACAGCCGTTGCCCTGCCCTAGATTATTTTGATGCACATCAGACATCTACAGTCTACAGGGCCATCCCCAAACTGCTAGAACACGGCTTCCCACGTGGCTCAGTGGTAAAGAACCTGCCTGTCCATGCAGGAGAGTCCAGTCCAATCCCTGGGTTGGAAGATCCCCTGGAAGAGTGTGGCAACCCCACTCTAGTATCTTTGCCCAGAGAATCCCATGGACAGAGGAGCCTGGTGGGCTACAGTCCCTGAGGTTGTGAAGAGTTGGACATGACTAGCCTGAATGCATGCAAACTACTAGAATACTCTTTAAAACTTTAATTTCATCTTCACACCTTAAAAACTTCCCTTAAATGTTCATTTAGTGCTGGTGCATCCCAGGGTCTTAAATGGATTTTACAGTATGTTTAATCAGGATCCCAGAAAGTCCTGATACTGCAGACCATCTCAAGCCTTTTAGTCTTGTAGTGTTTTCGTCCTTCATGTTTCAGGTTGAAACGGTAGCATTTTAACCTGGAGAGCAGTGACACTTGAAGTGTGGTCTGTGACTTGTTGCTGAGTTGAGTCAAAATAAGTTCAGAAACAGAGCATTTAAAAGTAATGCAACAAACATCCAGCTTTATGTCATATCTGAAACATCTGGGCTTTTACTGTGTTATTCCACTTTTCTCATACTTTGTTTATTTTATTAAAAATGCTGGTCTGATGGATCAGAAGTTATTTTACAAACCAGGTCTTCCCCACATCGTTTGAAAGGTGCAGTTGCAAAGTCTGGATCTTGACAGTCATGTCCCTGACACATTCCATGTTCCTTGGTCCCCTCTGCTTCCTGGAAATTGTGAAGAGGATGGTCAAGACCAGAGTGTGCATGGCTTCTAATCTGTAACGTCTGGGGTTTTTCTGGCAGGAGTTGGGAGTAGGTGAAATAAGCCCAGACCTGCTCTGTTATAAGATTTGTGTGCTCAGAAGACTCTGCGACCCCGTGGACTGAAGCCTGCCAGGCTCCTCTGTCCATGGGATTTCCCCGGCAAGAGTGTTGGAGTGGGTTGGCATTTCCTCCTCCGGGGGTCTTCCCGATCATGGTGCTTATATTTGAGAAATTAATACTCCCCATTGTCTCGATTTCAGCTTCGGAACTAGATAATGACGTTCCCACACCACCTTGTCCCTCCGCTGACGGCAGTGACGTCCAGAAAGCCCCTGTCGCGGCTCTTCCCCCCGAGTCAAAGGAACCAACGGCGACCCTTGGGGAGAGGACCTTCAACTGCTGCTATCCAGGTAGAGGGTAGACTCGACGTGCTGAGCCCCGCTCTGCACCCGGCTCCGTCACACGCGCCTCGCCGGATTTCAGATTCTTCCTGGCTTCCTCTGTGAGGTTCCGTTAAGGGAACCTGTCTTTCTTTTCTAGGTTGCCACTTCAAAACTGTCCATGGCATGAAAGATCTGGACCGCCACCTAAGAATCCACACGGGTAGGTACCCGTTCGTTTGTCCCAAACTTGCGTGTTGGAAAAAACCCCGAGAACAGGAATGTATGCTGGTGAGCCTGGCTCAGAAGGTCCCTGCCTCGGGATGCGATCCCGTGGGAGGCGCTGGGGCCTGAAAAGTCACAAAGGCAGTGATGGTAACTGACAGGGCAGACTGTCGTAAGCTGGTGATGGCAGACTTTTTGGAAGAAGAGGCTCTTCAGGTAGGAGAGATGCCTGAGGAGTCGGGCGAGGATAAGGAAGGACTCCAGGCGGAGGGGATTGCTGCGCAGAGGCGTGGACGGAGCAGAACGGAGGTGGGATGTGGTTGGAGAGGTGGGCAGAGGGAGGGTCCGCACTGAGGCCCCGTGGCTGTCGGGGTCGTGGTTAAGAGCAGTGAGGCTGCTTCTGGACGGAAGGTGCCCTCTGAGCAGCCGTGCTGCTGAGAACGCAGAGAAACCAGATGTGCTGGGGCAAAGGACTGACCTAGAGGCAGGCTCTGCACACTGCGTGCGGCCTGGTGTCAGGCCCGGCCCGTCTGTCACCTGTGGCTGCTGCTACAGATAATAGTAAGCCCATCATGTATTAACAGCTGCATGAAAAATCACTGTTTCCTGGCCCTGCAGTGAGGTTATTGAATCGCTGCTGGAGACCGCATGGTACGCAGAGCCGGACACACACTGTCCAGTTTGTTAGAGAAACTTCCCCCCCCTCTGGTGTCCAGTGTTGACCCTGCACTAGCCTGCATGAGTTGAGATACTGATCTCTTTGCCCTCACAGACTAAACGACTTAAACACAATGAGTTTTCTTTCTCAAGCACAATTTAAGAAGCCAGGTAGTCCCCAGCTGGTGGGATATAGCTAGCATCCTAACAAACAGCTTCGGCTCCTTGTCCGAGGCAGCTGCTCTGGACCTCGGTCTCTCAGCTGGTGGAAAACTGAAGCAGGAGGAAGGCTCGGAGCCTCCCCCAAGCCAGGCCCCTGAAGTGGCCTCCCCGGTGACTAGCCGGGTAATGAGCAGGACTCAATCATGATCACGCCAGGCACGAAGCAGGGCTGGAAAATGCCTTCAAGAAGGGCAGGCACATGCCCAGCTGAAACCCTGAGGCTCCATCATTAAGAGGACAGCTTTCTGGACCCCTAGTCTCTCTTGGAAATGGACAATGGGCTGTGGAAGCTAGAGAGCAAAGGGCCGGCTTTGCCTGGGAAGGGTGGCTCGTGAACGGCCTCCTCGTGAAGCCTCGGGAGATAGGGCTGCCAGGATGATGGCAGTGCGCCCGCAGACCACGGGAGCCATTTGAACAGAGACTCCTCATCAAGGGGGCCGGGTTAGGCAACTTCAAAGTGGGTGACTTGGTCCTGAGGATAATCAGGCAGTGCTTCTCCGCTGGGGCATGTGCCACTCTGGTGGGTGGAGGCCGAAGGTGCTGCCCAAAACCTGCAGTGAACAGGACGGGCCCTGTAATGAGTCATCAGGCCCTATGGCCACAGTACCAGGAGAACCTCAAGAGACAGGTAGGGGCTAGAGTGATGTTTTACGGGAGTAATACAGAGCGTGAGGGGGATACGGAAGCACAGGTGAGGCCATGTCCTTGGTGGGGTTCCCTGAGCCAGGCTGGAGATGCTGGGCAGGCCCATGCTACCTCTGGAAAGCAGGAGTGGCCCCTCGGGCGCTCTTAGCATGATTGCATAGCCTTCCCCATGGTTGCATAAAGCCAACATACTTCTGACTGCTGGCGAGTGTGGAGGCCAGCCCCATGGTTTCAGGGACTCGGGGTCCTGTTTTGTTGCTTGGACATCCCAAAGATTGGTGTGGCCTCAAATGGCTGTGTTAGTCGCTCAGTCGTGTCCTCACTCTTTGCGCCCCGTGGACTGTGGCCCACCATGCTCCTCTGTCCATGGAATTTTCCAGGCAAGAAGACTGGAGTGGGTTGCCTTCTCCAGGGGATCTTCCCAACCCAGGGATCAAACCTGGGCCTCCTGCATTGCAGGCAGATTCTTTACTGTCTGCGTCACTCGGAAGTTCTACTCCCATCTTAAAGGCAGCATCCTAGAAGTTACACACGTCATTTCAGTCGATGCCCAGATCTGCCCAGTCGATGGCCAGAACTTAGTCGCGTGGCGATTCTTAGCTGTGGAAATGAAGTCCGGGAGCTTGGAGTCTTGAATCTGTGTGGTAAGTGCCCAGCTACAGAGAGAGAGTTCTGTTACCAAGGAAAAGAGCTCAAATATAGACCACGTGGCCTCCCAGACGCAGCTGCAAGAGGGAGGTGGGGGTGGCAGTCTGTGTGCAGGTGACCGCTTGAGGCTGAAGCTGGTCCTTTGCCAAATGGGTAGAACACTGATTTTCCAACCACCGTTTTGAGATCCTTTACACTTCAAACCTGAAGAGCCCCCGAAGAGTTTTTTAATTGACAGTCACTGCGTTAGAAGTTAAAACCAAAACTTTATTCACTTAAGAGTAACAGTAAGCCTGTTACATATAAACACCTCTATGAAAAGTAACTGTTTTCCAAAACAAAGCAAGTAACAGTGCATATATACTTGCAAACGTGTCTTATTTCATGGTTTAGCTGAACTCTCATCCCTGTATCCCAGTATCCAGTCTATTGCCGTGTGTTCCTTTGGTTGGAATGTGAGAGGAAAATCTGGCTGCTCACTAATGTAATTGGAAATGGAGGAGTATTTCAATAGTCTTTTCAGGTAATACTGTACCAAAATACAACAAATGGTGGTTTGTTAAATATTAGTTGCTGTATAGAATTTGCAGTCACATCCATAAATTTTTCAAACTTGTTAAATTCCATTTGTCTGTTTTCAACTTTAAATAGCCCTTACTCTTGCTTGATTGGCTCTCAAACCATACATGGTTTGACAGTCATACGCCAGTCATTTGGGAAAATGTGACTTTTGCCAACTTCTGTAATTCTTCCAAATGTTGATCCATTTCATTGTACCATAGGAGAAAAATCATGTTTAATTATGAATCTCAGTAGAAATACCTAAAGCTAGGATGCTGCAGGCCTGGGGTAGTGAGCGATATATGATTTTCAATCCAAACTTTCTAGAATCCAAAAGTTATCATCCCAGTATTGTCAGTAACTTTCCTTGACATGACTGGCTTACTCAGTTCATATTTAAGGAAACATCTGCCGAATACCAAATCTGAAATAACTGGTTTTTTTTAGTTCTTTCAAGTCAACAGGGGTACATCGTAGGGAAAGCACCCTGCGCAGTCACCGTCATGCACTTGTTGTCAGGACAGCCAAGGATTTTGGTTTACAGAACACTTTTTGTAGTGTAATCAACATCTTTAATAGGGAACTTTATCATTCAAATTCCAAATATCCTAAATAAGTTAAAGTCTATAACTTACTGGGAAATATAGGAGGACAAATTTATGGTGAAAATAGATGGGTAAACACAATTAGCAAAGTCCACCAAGAAGACAGATTAAGTATGACTAAAGTTAAAACTTCCACTCAGACATCATCATGACTAAAGTTAAAACTTCCACTGAGACATCATTAAGAAGTTAAGAAATTTGCAGCATGGGGCAGAGTTCATCTTCAGAACACACAAGGATGCCTGCAAATCAGTGATGGCTCCAACCGAAAAGGATCTGAAGAAGCAGTCACTCAAACAGAAGTGCCAATATTCGGGTGAAAAGCCCACAAGAATAAAGTCCAAAAGAAACATGAGAACTGTGTTTTCCCCAGAGTGGGCTAGCTGAAAAGTACTCAGTTAAGACTGTGAATCGCGGAACACGGCACTTGACAAGCCTCGGCCGCACTGGGCCTCCCCACCTCCCAAGGCGGGATGTGGTTCTCTGCAGGGAGAAGACTGGGATGAAGGATGGGGTAGCAACAGGGTGTGTGGGAACCTAGAGGGCTGACAGCGGCAGCACCAGCTTCAGAGAAGTTTTGCCTGTTCTCTCCAGGCCCCTGGCTGCCTTCTGTACTCTAGCAGGTCAAGTTTATGCTTTTGAATTCTCTGGTAGAGTATCATACGCAAATCGTGTTTGTGTCTCTATTCCATCTAGAGTGCCTTGGTGCTCTGGGTCAGAGTTGAAGAGTAGTGGCGAAGGGAAACCTATCCGTATCTTACTCCTGACTCTGATGGAATATCTTGAGTTTTTTTTCTTTGGCCGCTCCGCAAGAGCAGCTTTCAGCATCTTAGCCCTCCAACCAGGGATCGACCCCAGAGCCTCGGCAGTGAAAGCACCCAGCTTTAACCACGGGACTGCCAGGGAGTGAGTTGGATTTTTTTTTTTTTAAACCATCACTTGTGGTTCAAGTCCTTAGGATCCTTGTGGAAATCACTGTCATGTTTGAGAAGTTTTTGTTTGATTGATTTTATTTCAAGTCTGCGGAAGTGGGCTTGGGTCTTGGGATGTGTTTTGTTCAGCTTTGGGTTTTTCCATCAAGAATGATAGTTGACGGGCTTCCCTGTTGGCTTCGTGGTAAAGAATCCACCTGCCAGTGTGGGAGATGTGGGTTTGATCCTTGGGTCAGGAAGATCCCCTGGAGAAGAAAATGGCAACTCACCCCAGTATCCTTGCCTGGGAAATCCCATTTGCAGAGGAACCTGGCGGGTCGCGGTCCTTGGGATCGCAAAAAGTTGGACACAATTTAGCAACTAAATTATAAAAAAAACTAGTGATGGTTGAATTTCAAATGTTTTGCCCTTAAGATAATTGTCTGGCATTTGTCCTCATAGAGGACACTGTCTTCCAATGTTTGTTTTATCCCACTCTATATTTCTTCACTTGGTATTGATATCAGGGTTAATCTATCCTGAAGTGAGTTGAGACACTTTTTTCTTTCCCTCTGCTATTAAACAATTGAACATGCAAACGCTTTTGCTGGTAAATTGGGTAGAATGTGACCACAGTACTCCATTTGTGACTTTTCTTTTCCCAGAGGCTGGAGGGTGCGTGGACTAGGCTGTGATGACGTTACCCGTCTCCGTGGCCGCGGAGGCCAGCTCTGCTCAGCCTCGTGCCCCCAGAGTCACTGCCAGCTCCATGCCTGTGGTCTCCCCTCCAGGACCCAGCTGGTGGGGCGGCCTGTCTGGAATATGCCACCTAAAGGCGCTCTTAACCCTTTTTTCCTGCTGTGGACTCCTGGCAGTTTTGTGAAGCTTACAGAGCCCTCCTAGAATAACATTTTAATAACATATTATCACATATATAATTTAATAAACATAATTTAACATAATCACATTAAACTATATTTAAGTACAGCTGCTATCAAAGTGTTCATTATTTTAATATACTACTCTTGCTTTCCTGAAGAGTGAAAGTGAAGTCGCTCAGTCGTGTCTGACTCTTTGCGACCCCATGGACTGTCGCCCACCAGGCTCCTCCATCCATGGGGTTTTCCAGGCAAGAATACTGGGGTGGGTTGCCATTTCCTTCTCCATGGAATCTTCCCAACCCGGGGATCAAACCCAGGTCTCCCGCATGGTAGGCAGACGCTTTGCCGTCTGAGCCAGCAGGGAAGTCCTGAAGAGTGTTACAGACCGAAAAGGTCACCACCGCCTGGGAGCTCATTAGAAATACAGGATCTCAGGCCCTCCCAGACCCACTGACCCCGAAACTGCACTTTCCTCCTTGTTTCTATGAGTCCGGTTTGAGAAATGGGGAGATAGCAGTCGAAGGTAAAACCTGCAGCTCAAATAAGAGGAATGAATCCTCAGAATGTATGGGAATGAAAAATTCCAGTTAGAGGTAAAGGAGATAAAACTTAATCCCTTCTCATACAAGGTCTTAAAACTCCCTAAATTTTACCCACAGGGCCCAAATTAAGAATCCTTGCTCTTCCCAGGAAATAAGTCCAATATCTTTATAATAACCATAAGTGTAATATAACTTTAAAAAACTGTGAATCTCTATGTTGTACACCTGAAACAGTTCAAAAAAAAACCCCATGATCTGGAATGTTACAGGTCATCCTGAACAAGAGAAGCAAGTGTAGCCAACCAGACACTGGCTCGTTTTGTTTTTAGTTTGGGGTCGTTTTTGGGGGGGGTCTTTGTTTTTGTTGTTCTTTCATTTTGGGGGGATCTTTTTGTTTCTTGTTTGGGGCAGTACCACCCAGTTTGCAGGATCTTAGCTCCCAGACTAGTGGTTGAACCGATGCCCCCTAGTGGAAGCGCAGAGTCCTGACCCTTTGACCACCTGGGAATTCCCAAGACTGGCTCTGAAGTCGGTTTGCTCCTCTCCTTTGAGCAAGCCAGTCCCGCGTCCAGGCCTGCAGTGATGGGATCAAGCAGCCTAATTCTCCTGAGAAGGACACCAAATACTTGAACAGAAAACGGTTTACCTTGGGGCACATCTCTAACATAGTGGTTTTTCTAAATTTGTTATTGCTCTGTTTTCTTTCTTAATTCAGGCTGTAATTTTGTATCTTCCTGGACCATCACTGTTTTATTGAGTCATCTAAACTGATTGTGGGTTTCCCTGGTGGCTCAGAGGATAGAGAATTCACCTGCAAAGCAGGAAACACAAGTTCTTTCCCTGGGTGGGGGAGATCCCCTGGAGAAAGGGAATTGCTAGCCATTCCGGTATTTTTGCCTGGAGAATTCCATGGACAGAGGAGCCTGGTGGGCTACAGTCCATGGGGTCACAGAGTTGGACATGTCTGAACAACTAACACTTTCCCTTTTCAAGAGAATTAAACTGATTTGTAAAAAAAAAAAAAAAAACTAATTGACATTTTTAACAGGAAATTTAATCCATTTGTACTAAATGTTTAGTTTGACTTTTCCCTTATTTTCTGTTGTGCCCCCTTTTTTTTATCCTTCTCTTTTCCGGTTTGAAAGCAGTCCTTCCCATTTCATTACTTATATCCCACATCTTGTCCGCTTACCTTTTTGTTGTTGTGATGTACACAGTTCAAGTGTGATGCCTTGTGTAATCTGTCAACTGGCTTTATTTTCTCTTTTCTTTATTTTCTCTTCCCACTTAAGTTGAGTGCTTAGTCGCTCAGTCGTGTCCGACTCTGCGACCCCATGGACTGTAGCCCACCAGGCTCCTCTGTCCATGGGGCTCTCGGGCAAGAAGAACACTGGCGTGGGTTGCCATGCCCTCCTCCAGGGGATCTCCCCAACCCAGGGATCAAACCCAGGCCTCCCGCATTGCAGGCGGATTCTTTACCACCTGTGCCACCGGGGAAGCAGGTTCAAGTACAGAGTTTTATTTCAGTAATTTCTATGGAATTCTGCAGGTACTGTTCCCATCTTTTTACCATCTGGTGTTGTCTGAGGAGTTGTGTGCTCATCTGGGCCTTTTTTTTTTCCTGAAAGCTTTATTTTTTTTTTTCCATTCATTTTTATTAGTTGGAGGCTAATTATTTTACAGTATTGTAGTGGTTTTTGCCATACATTGACATGAACCAGCCATGGATTTACATGTGTTCCCCATCTTGAACCCCCCTCCCACCTCCCTCCCTATCCTGAAAGCTTTAGGATGTCATCATTCTTCGGCTTTGGACACTGTCCCACTCTGCCTCTAATTGAGCCATCTTAATGACCCATGTCTGAGGAATCCCCCGGCAGTCCAGTGGTCAGAACCCAGCACTGCCCCTGCTGGGGACCTGAGTTCGATCCCTTGTCAAGGAACAACGATCCCCTGAGCCACGCACAACCCAAAACCATCTTTTAAAGACCCATGTCTGGTTTTGGTGTCAAATAGTTATCTTCTTTAAGTCCGGGTTCTTTAGTTGGGCATACCTTCCCATTCTGGGTTTCCCTGATCAGTGGGTTCCGGGGGGAGGTTTTTGTTTGGAGGTGATCCATCTGGAGTAGTTGTGGGAGGAGGAGGAACGCAGTTTGGTGGCAATGTTCTGGGCATGGGGTTCTCTGCTCTCTGGGAACCTGCACATGCTTGGAGCCTTGGCAGTGCTTCTCCAGCCTAAGCAGCCTCCCTTCCTGACAGCCCGGCAGGTGGGTGCCTCAGCTGCTTGTGGTTTAGCCCAAGTCAGGGAAGTCACCCTAATCACTCTCCAGGCGACTCATCAGCTAGTGAGCCCGAGAGCCGCTCAGTGTCCGCCACCTGCCCCCTCCGATCTCGACTGCTTCTAGAAGCGCTCTCATTTTCCCAAACAAGATTTGGCCTATGGCCTCCTTTCAGCCTGACTTTATCTCTGCTCCTCGGGAGGCTTCGCAAGCTCTGAGCCGTGAATGAAAGGGCACCCCTTCTCGCATCCCATGGTGCCCATCTAGACCTCGGTGTCTTCCTGTCTCCGGGCATTTGGTCCGAGGGAAAAGGCAGAGCCTGGGGCCCAGGCCGCCGCCTTGGTCGGCCCTCTCTGCCGGCGGGGCCCGGGCCGCCGCCTTGGTTGGTGCCCATCTAGACCTCGGTGTCTTCCTGTCTCCGGGCATTTGGTCCGAGGGAAAAGGCAGAGCCTGGGGCCCGGGCCGCCGCCTTGGTCGGCCCTCTCTGCCGGCGGGGCCCAGGCCGCCGCCTTGGTCGGCCGTCCCTGCCGTCGTCCTGACGGACAAAGGCCCTGAAGCCGCGACTCTTGGTTGTGTGTTTGCAGGAGACAAGCCGCACAAGTGTGAGTTCTGTGCCAAGTGCTTCAGCCGCAAGGACAACCTGACCATGCACATGCGCTGCCACACCAGCGTGAAGCCCCACAAGTGCCATCTGTGTGACTACGCGGCCGTGGACAGCAGCAGCCTCAAGAAGCACCTGCGCATCCACTCGGACGAGCGGCCCTACAAGTGCCAGCTCTGCCCCTACGCCAGCCGCAACTCCAGCCAGCTCACCGTGCACCTGCGCTCCCACACCGGTAAGTCCCGGGCCTCGCTGCATCCCTGGCCCCTCGGTGGTCGCTTAGTTAAAGCACAGGCAGCTTCAGTGACTCCAGGGTGTGAGTAAAGGAATCTGGGGCTTCTCTGTTGACGGTGAAGTCTGTGGTTTCTCCTACTGGGACGGCAGCTTCTAGTAAAACACTGGACGTCTGACAGCTGAGTTTCCTAACTTGCCTGTGCAGAATTCAGCTGGGGGCGATTATCCAATTCAAAGCGCAGGAAGCAAAGGGTGCATCTCAATAAAAGTCTGATGAATAAACTAGGTGTTTCTGTCATTCAACGTCAACTCTGATTGTGCAGCTTAATTCAGAAACGTGGCCACGTGTGAAACGGCTGGCTGGTGGGAAGGTGGTGCTCTGTGTCGGCCTGGGGATGGGGGAGGAGCAGGGTGGGGTGGAGGCTGGAGGGGGGCGATGCATGTGTGCATACAGCTGACGCACTCTGTTGAACGTGACATTGTGAAGCAATTATATTCTAATTAAAACAAGAAACGTGTAGCAAAATTTCCTGGTAATCACAAGCGTCTAGAAATTAGGCTTTGCAGAAAAGCTTTTCCCTCCCTGTGTGAGACACTTGAAATAACGAGATAGAACCAACTAACCCATCATAGTGCAGAAAAGGGGGGTCAGGGAAGCTCATAAGAAGAGTCAGAAAATTAGAATTTCCAGTGAATGCCTGGCAAATGGCACGCAGACCGGCATATACTGACATCCAAAATTGAGTCAAGAAACCTGTGTCCCAGCAGACCAGTGGGAGGCAGCCCTAGAGCCGGGTGCTAATCTTTGCAGCCAGTGTCCAACTGCCTTGGGTGTTCTGGACTTGGAGCTGGTGCAGGCTGCAGAAGTCAGAGGTCAGAGGAGCAGCTGAAGCCTCTTGGCATCATGGCCCAAACCGCTGAGTCACAGGGAAAACACATCGAATGTCGAGTCCTTAAACTGATCTCCTCCCCTAACTTTGAAGTGTCATCTGCAGATTATGAGTCATCTGCAGGAAATAAGTGGTATGAAATGTGCCAAGGCTAACAACAAATCCTGGAGACAGCAAAGTACTTGCGTAACTTACCAGAATTTTTTAGTTCTCATTGGTATCCACCCACTGGCAGGAATGTTGCATCTAAGAAGAGTTCTGTTAGAAACAGTAGAACAAAGCAGTATGAATTGAAACTGGGGGTGCTGGCTATAACCAACTTTTCAGAGAGCAGAAAAAAACCTGGAGAACTGACAATCAGAAGATAGAAGTCTGGTTTCTGGCAAGGTCAGGAAGAAAAGAGGTGAGAAAATCAAGTGAAATAAAGCTGTTTCTCAAGCAAAGAGAGGTAGTAGCAAAGAGAAAGGCATCCTTAAACCTCTCAAGCCAATGGACTAAACATTGAAGCTAATACTTGCTTTAGAGAGTGATGCTAGATGAGTCAAAATCACAACCAACAGAACGTAGGAGAAGTTTGGGGAAAGGATGGTTGTGTAGGATATGTAACAATCTCATCTTTGCCTATAATCAACTGACAGTGGTGTTTAAAGTAACAGCCTCCAAAGAACTAAACCCTTAGCCATCCCTGCAGGGAGTGTAGAGGAGGCTATGGCATTTCATGATTTGTCTGCTGCTCCTGCTGCCATATTCATGGGTTAATTTCATAAATTCAGTCTTTCGGTGTGAAACTGCAAACCTTTAATACAAGCCAGTTAACTGATGTAATAAGACAACTTAAAGTGAAGAGTAAAAGTGTTAGCTGCTCAGTCGTGTCCGACTCTTTGCCACCCCATGGACTGTCCATGGAATTCTCTAGGCAAGAATACTGGAGTGGGTTGCCATTCCCTTCTCCAGGGGATCTTTCCAACCCAGGGATTGAACCCAGGTCTCCCACGTTGCAGGCAGATTCTTTCCTGTGTGAGCCACGGGGGAAAGTCCAAACCCCAAAGTGAGCATGTTTATAAATCTTGATTTGAAACAGTTTTGTATCGCATAACCACACCTCTTCCTTCTGTGTCCAAATCTGAGATGTCAAGTGAGTTTAGATCTGAACCTGAAGTGTCGCGAAGAGGGTGGACTTGGATGCCCTGATGCTGTTTGGCCATGGTCAAATGACGTGACCTCTCTGAGCCTCAGTTACCCCACCTGTTAAAGTGGGGGTAGCACTGACACGTGGGATTGCTATGCGGATTAAGCAAGTTTTAATACACAGTGTTCTCGCGTGGTGCTGGTAGGAGGTGAGGAGTGGTTGGAGTTTTAAGGACCCAGCTGTCTGCCAGCACGTGTTCTGAACGCATGTGGGGGGTGGGGAGCTCTGTTGCCTGCCTGCTCTAATGGAAACGCACCTTCCCGTTGCCAGGGGACACCCCCTTCCAGTGCTGGCTCTGTAGCGCCAAGTTCAAAATCAGCTCGGACTTGAAAAGGCACATGATCGTGCACTCGGGGGAGAAGCCTTTCAAGTGCGAGTTCTGCGACGTCCGCTGCACCATGAAGGCGAACCTGAAGTCGCACATCCGCATCAAGCACACCTTCAAGTGCCTGCACTGCGCCTTCCAGGGCCGGGACCGGGCCGACCTTCTGGAGCATAGCCGGCTGCACCGGGCTGACCACCCCGAGAAGTGCCCGGAGTGCAGCTACTCCTGCTCCAGCGCGGCCGCCCTGCGCGTGCACAGCCGCGTGCACTGCCCCGACCGGCCCTTCAAGTGCGACCTCTGCGGCTTCGACACCAAGCGGCCCAGCAGCCTGGCCAAGCACGTCGACAAGGCGCACCGGGACGAGGCCCGGACGGAGAACCGGGCCCCGCCGGGGCGGGAGGGGCCGCCCGTGGCCAAGATCGTGACGCACAGGGCCTTCCGCTGCGAGACATGCGGCGCCGCCTTCGTCAGGGACGACTCTCTGCGCTGCCATCGGAAGCAGCACCGCGACCACGGCGAGCACCGGAGCTCGGGCCTGGTCACCTTCCCACCCGAGAGCAGCGCCCCCGGGCAGCTGGGCGCGCTGGTCTCCGTCGGGCAGCTCGAGGCGCCCCTGGAGTCCAGCCAGTGCCTCTAGGACCCCCGGAAAGGGTGGCCAGCCAGCCGGATCTCCGGACGCAACGCGGCCGCCCAGCCCTCGAGCCACGTTGGACTCACCCGCTCCAGGGATGCCTGCTTCCACCCTGAGGCCTGCAGATGCCGTGGCCGCAGTCACCGGGGTGTGAGGGCAGGTGCCAAGGCAGCCCTGTGGAGACACATCCCCCAACCGCACCCCTCGTATCTGTCTTCCCTCCAAGCATCGCCTAAGCAAGTTTACTCGGTTCCAAGATCGGGGGGTCCACTGAGCACTGCTCTATCCAGTAGGGATAGTTCCCTCACGATGGATTCCGGTTCTAAAACTGATCCGCCCCCGATGGGATTATGAAACAAACGAGTTAGACCACGTGGAAAAACTACACTGATCCATACATAGAGCAGGTTTAAGGGGATGTCGGGGTATGTGGAGGGTCTGGGGTGGCCGGAAAAGTTCTACGTCTTAACCTGGGTGGTGGTTTCTAAGAGTACCCGCCTTATATGTTTTCTGTGTGGTTCCTTTTATCTGTTGTCTTATAATAAAAAGGCAAGCTCGTCTGTAGAGTGGTGTCGGAGGGACACTCCATTTTTGTGGTCTTTCACAGTGTGCAGGTTCTCCAGTGCCCTCCAGCCCGTGGCAATTTCATTGCAAATGCACCTGGGATTTCTGAGTGTCCCAGTGCCGCAGTGAAGCAAAATGCAGCTTGATCTGTAGGTGGCGCCAGAGATCAAGCTAACGCTAGCTCAGCCAGTAACTGTGTTGTGAAATTCAAGATTTGTGTATTTCTGTTCATAAAAAGAGAGTAGGGACCCAGTGGGTCCTGGGCTTCATTGTGGGACATGGTGATGCCTGGAAAAGCCTGGGACTAGTGTCTTTCATCATAGTATGCATTTGGTGTTTGCTGAACCAACAAATAAGGGAAACCCTAAGTCTCTTGTAAATGGACATTTAACTTGACCGAAACTTAAGAGGTCTTAGAATGCCAGTGGATATATAATTTATCCAAAGCTGCTTTCGTCTTTTCTTCAGATACAGTCTTTGTTTAATACAGATTCTTGTGTGCCCTCATCAAGCTAAATATCTGGGCCTTTGAAACACTGAATAGATCCATTGTTTTTGATAAACTGGGAACAGGGATGTGAAAACAGATTACTTATAGATTGTAAAGGTGACTATTTCACTTATGAAATAGACATACAGAGCTTGTTTTAGAAGGTTTGTTTGAACAAATCTGATTCCATTTGGCTCAAGGCGAATGATAACGACTGTAAGAGGAAAAGATAGAAATGATGGCAGAGAGAATCAGTAACTTTCTTGTTTTATAGCTATTTTCGGTTCAGAAGTGTTTCATTCCTGGTTGCTGGTGCATGGCACAGATTCTGTTGTCACCTTTTGCCGTTTGTCATGAGTCTTATCTGTGTTTCTGTTCTGGTAACGGAAGGGCTGTTGACCTTTCAAGTGGGAACACAAAGATTGAAATCATATAAACGCTCCTTGTACTTCTGGTGTCATAGCTCTTCAAAGAAACAGGGACAATATCAGCCTCTTTAGAAGGCATTTTATCAAGGGTCTTGGATCCACACTGGTATCACCTAGCAAATTTAGATCCCCAGCAGAGTGGAGGTCACCAAAAAGCTTGGAACCAGATAGTAAATATTTGAGGCTTTATGGAGCCATACGGGCTCTTCCGTGACTAAACTCTCTTCACAAAAGCAGCCAGACTGTCTGTATGCCAACAAAACTTTATGAAATGAGGATGAGACTTAAAATATACAGCCATCGCCAAATGAAACAGGAAATAGCCATAGTAGCCAAGAGGCCCTGAATTGATTTCTGCACCAAGCTGTGTTTTGCAAGGTGCACATCGATCTCAAAGGGGACGTTGATTAATGAATATTTGCAGTGTGGCATCACATGGACCAGGGGCTGGGGAACTTTTTCAGTAAAAGGCCAGACAGTAAGTATTTTTGGCTTTGCTAGCCTCAGTCTCTATTCAACTCTGTTCACCCCTGTAGCACAATCACTCAACTCTGCCAGTTATCAAACATGCTGGAGACAACAGGTAAGTGAATGGATATAGCTGTGTGCCAATAAAACTTTATTTACAAAAAGCAGGCCATGATTTGGAGGGCTGTCTTTTGCTGATTCCTGACCTGGGCTATTGAGTGCAAGCAGTAAGGTAATCGATATGTCAAATCACAGGAGAAACACAAAAAATGCCAAATTTCCTGGGGTCCCTTTATGCTGGTACAGTTTCATGCAAGAGATAGGTTCAGTTCAATCGCTCCATCGTGTCCGACTCTTTGTGATCCCATGGACTGCAGCAAGCCAGGCTTCCCTGTCCATCACCAACTCCCAGAATCTGGTCAGACTCATGCCCATCAAGTTGGTGATGCCACCCAACCATCTCATCCTCTGTCATCCCCTTCTCCTCCTGCCTTCAATCTTTCCCAGCATCAGGGTCTTTTCCAGTGAGTCAGTTCTTTGCATCAGGTAGCCAAAATATTGACCCTTCAGCATCAGTCCTTCCAGTGAATATTCAGGACTGATTTCCTTTAGGATTGACTGGTTTGATATCTTTGCAGAGATAGGTTAAATTCCAGGTTGTGTACATGCATGCTAAGTTGCTTTAGTCATGTCTGACTCTTTCTAACCCTATGGACTGTAGCCCACTAAGCGCCTCTGTCCATGGGGTTCTCCAGGCAAGAATACTGGAGTGGGTTGCCATTTCCTTCTCCAGGGGATCTTCCTGACCCCGGAATCGAGTTCTTTACCACTAGCACCGCCTGGGAAGCCCAAGTTCCAGGTTGTAAGTGAAAGTCACTCAGTCGCATCCAACTCTATACAGTCCGTGGAATTCTTCAGACCAAAATACTGGAGTGGGTAGCCCTTTCTTTCTCCAGGGGATCTTCCCAACCCAGAGATTGAACCCAGGTCTCCTGCATTGCAGGCAGATTTTTTACCATCTGAGCCATCAGGGAAACCAAAGAATCCTGGCATGGGTAGCCTATCCCTTCTCCAGTATCTTCCCGACCCAGGAATCGAACTCAGGTGTCCCACATGGCGGGCAGATTCTTTATCAGCTGAGCTACCGGCGAGGTTAGGGGCTGGGAGATGCTAAGGCCTTTGGACGTCTAGTGCAGTTATAAAATGTCCAGTGAAGAATTAAAAAATCAAGGTGATCCCCTCTTGCTTTCCTCTGCTTAAGGCTTCCTGCTGCCTTCTGAACACTGTAGGACATGAGTTCGTTTGTCCCTGTGTTTAATTTCTTGAAAAGAATGAGCCTCAATTGCTGCTGCTATGTTGGTGTGAGTCCTTACTCTGAGCCAGGCACTGTGATAAGAACTTGACCTCTGTTGACTCATCTCCTTCTGTCCGGTGCTATCCAGAGCTGGAACTAGGTTGAGATGAGGAAGGCACTGGCCTAGGGCACTCAAAACTCAGCAATCACATGTTTCAAAGTGATATATTTCCCAAAAAAAAGCGATATATTTTCTAAATTAGCAAACTACGGACTCTACAGGTCAGCTGCTTTTTTTGTTGTTTTTTTTAAAGTTTTATTAGAAGTTAGCTTGGGAATTAAGGCAGGACTTGGTCCTGTCTTTTAAGATTGTGATGTTTTTGTTCATTGTGGATTTTCTGTGTTAAATTTGGTCTTTAGAAAAATTGCATTAAAATACTTTCCTTGATCAGTGAGATTTGGGGCACCCCTGTCCGTTTGCACTGGAGGGGAGTGCCTCAACCACCTCCCACTCGTCCCTGCCTCTTGTCCAGATACAGAAACTGAAGCATGAGGGTGATGGACCTTCTAGAACAGAGTTAGGTTTCAGTCTCAGGCAGAGTAGCTCCTGAGTCCACATTTTTAACCAAAGTACTGGGCTGGGTCTCCAATTCTAAAATATATGTCTTGTTAGAGTAATAAGCTGAGCTGAGTAGGGTGATGACAGACTCATCCAAAAGGAGCCTTCTTTTGTTGAAAGGTGTCGGGGTTGAGGAGGAAAGGGGTCTGAGCAGCCCTGCTTCTGGCGTTACGGTGTGCTGACGTCCAGCTGGGGTTTGGACCTCGGGTTCTCCGTTTGCTTCTCTGTCCATGGAGTGCTCAGTCACTTCAGTCGTGCCCGACTCTGCAACCCCATGGACTGTGGCCCGCCAGGCTCCTCTGTCCATGGGATTCTCCAGGCAAGAATGCTGGAGTGGGTAGCCGTTCCCTTCTCCAGGGGATCTTCCCACCCCAGGGATCGAACCCCAGTCTTCTGTGTTGCAGAGTCTTTACCCGCTAAGCCACCTAAGGAAGACTTTCGCTCATCTGTAAAATGGGCCATTTCAGGCATTTGGCTTCATGATAACAAGTTTAAAACAGCAAAGCAAAACCCAGCTTGCCTGTGTCTTTCTCTCATTTATTTTGTTGGAGCTGGGGCATGGGGATAACCAAGAACTAGTACTGTGACCTTGTGACCTTGGGCATCATAGTTTCTATCTTACTTCCCACCCCACCCCTTATCTGTGACACGTGGTCCAAAATGGTGACAACTGAGCTCCAGCCAGGGTAGGAGGAGGCCTCCCCTGAGCACTGCAGGAAGGTTGCACGTAAGCTTCAGTTTCCAGGCCCTGCTACCTGGCTGGTCATACGCCATGGCCGTTGCAAAGGGTGCTGGGAAATGATGGCGCTAGAGTAGCTCTGCTGAGTTAAAACCTGGAAGGAGATTCTGGGTCACGTGTATCCTCTGCCCCGAGCAGTCATGCAGGGCTCTCGTGAAGGCTGGAAGTGACTTTGCTATGAGACACCAGGCGTCGACCTTGAACACCCAAGGTATTCTACACAGGAATGTTTCTGCTTTATCAGGGCTTCGCCGGGGCTCCCTCTGCCTGCTTTTTGTGATATTGGCCCATGATGTCCTTCCAAGGTTTTCTGTCACTCTGGCCTGGTGGGTGTCAACCGGCTCTGGGCTGAAGTATGTGGGAAGCTCTTGGGTAATTGGAATCTGCCTCTGCAGGGAGGCCGTGGGCGTTGGTACCTTCTGAGGCTGTGCAGGTGATCATAATGTGCAGCCAGGTGGGAACAGCTGCCCCAGTGAAGAAGCAGGGCTGTCTTCATGGATGTTTGCCGCCTATACTGTCCTGGAGGGCCCCACACTCGGGTACCTGCTCTGCTGACGCTGTTTTGCAATTCTTAGTTTTTGAACCAGGGGTCCTGAGTTTGCATTTTGCATCAAGCCCAAATTACATAGCCAGTCCTGTGAGGAAAGAAAACATGCCTAGGAAGGGAGCCTATGTACGTTACTGGTACAGAAAAGGTCTCAACCTTTGCGACCAAGGCTCTTGTCTGGAGTCAGCCAGCCTGGACTCTGGATGGGAGGGAGAAGCACCATGAATCGTGATGGTCTAGAATTTCCCTGCACGATTCCATTCAAACGTTACAATGAATACCATGTGCATTTGTTATTACGAGCAAAGCTGATTTTCGGAAAAGTTACACCTGCTCAGGGCAGCTAGTGCAGGGAAGTCAAAGCCTGTGTGCTGGACTCCTGTGCTGTGTGTTGTTTGCAGCTTAGGCGGGG